GATGGAGGTGGCGCCTGTGCTTGGACCCAAGAATCCTGCAGATCTAGGCGCCAAGAGATTGAGCCACAAACGGCTGGTAAGCCTGATGAGAATGATTGGCTTCTACGACATGGACAACGACCATTTGTTGACCGATGACACCATACTCCGCGAGGAAGCGCGGCAGTTGAACCAAAGCGCAGTCCGCGCATTGAACGCCTTGAGCCTACTCAGTGGCATGGCACTCCAAGGGTGTCAAGATGGAGGACAATGTGAAGACGGCAATGGAAGCAGCAATAGCTTTATGTGGGAAACATGGAGGATTACACTCTTCCAGATGGGCATTGCAATCCTTGGCATCATCGGGATGATCCTCTACAAGAAGTTCATTCGTCGTGGACAACTTGCAGAAGAAACTTTTCATGAAGCTCTACTTGAAGAACAAAGCCGACGTGAAGAAGTTCCACAACTTCATCGAGAACCTCATGAACCAGAAGAACACGGACTACCTCATCGATACCCTCAAGATGAAGAACCGTATCCTCACCACTATGATGACATGGAAGTCGATGAAGAACCCTTCAACGTGTTTGGTGTCAACGCAGCCAGTAGACCAAGGCCTACAAGTGCGCAAACCCTTCATGGTGATGAAGAACTTGCAGAGGAGGATAACCTCACAGAAGACGACAATTACAGTATGAGCGTTGACGCGGAGCAGATCCTGGACTTTGGTGAGCACGAAGATGACTTCATCAACCTCACTGAGGAAGAGTACGACAGCTACAGGACAAGACTTCTTGTGGAAGTCCGTGGCGTCGAGCAATACCTGATGGAGCTCAACCGGAAAGTGAGAAGGGAGATGGAAGACCTTGATCCCAGGAACGTTTTCTATGGGGACATCAGGAGTCAGATGATAAGTGGCCTCAGGGAGATCATGGCGATGCAAAGAGATGTCATGAACGAAGGCCAAGAACACGTGCCCGTGTGATTCGCTTCTTGCACGCCAGGCACCGCTACATCCATAACCACCCACCTGGTGACAGTGATGCAAGCATGGATCAAACCTCTGACCCAGAAGGCTACGCAGCAGTCACCTACGGATGGGCAAGCGACAACACTCCATCAAGCTGTGAGGAACACGCCATGGAGATCGCTCCTACTGGAGCGAGTGGTGCAGCTGATGGAAGCTGATGATGCAGCTGAGCGCTGTGCAGCTGCTGAACTGTTTCACTAAGACTTGTGGAAAGCTTTGTCACTTGAGAAAACTCAGTGACTACAGCTTTGGCGGGGTGAAGAAATTCTCCGCTATATGTCATGACAAGCATGGCAGTTGGAAACATGTTTCACTTGAGGGATGACTCTCATAAGATCGCCGCGTAAGCGGTCGGCTCTGAGAAAAGTTTCACTACAGGTTATTGGCGCGAAGCGAGCCAACTGTCAAGTACCCTCGGGTTTTCGCTTCGTACACTGGCATCATGATTTACAGAAAGAGAAGGCAGAAACCGGATAAGACAAAAAACAGGCTGCTCAGAGTGAGTACTCCGGGGTAAAAGTAGATGGCCCTGATTTCTGAATTGAGCCATCTACCTAGGCGTGTCATTTTGAGGGGGTTCCAAATCTGTTGATGGCACAGCTATAACAATGCGCCATCTACATAGATAGTGACCCTCACTGCCATCAAAGGAGATTTGTCTGCATTTTTTTAATGTTCAATTTTGTTTCGGGTGTTACGCCTTATTCGGCAAAAAAATATGATAAAATAGATGGCTCATTAAGCCCGTTGGAGCCATAAATGCTGTATTGCAACCCTTGATTGTGCCCCGCCATCTTTGCCCATGAGCAGCATTCAAGGTCAAGCTTGTGGAATGGAGAAGTGCAGGAAAGGAAGCAAAAGGATAAGGATCAGACACAGAAGGTCAAAGGACATGAGAGGAGAGGGAAAGGAGACAGAGGGATGAAAGAGGGTAAGGTATGTAGAGTTGCGCCATCTATTCTGACAGGAACCACTGAAATAAGGCGTGAATGACCAGAAAAAGGCGTGGCATCATCGCCTAAAATAGGTCTGCTCCCCCTAACCTGGGCGTGTCTCCGAAGGGCCCTGTCGGTGCCATCTACTCGCCCTTTTCTGTTTCGCGCCGTGCCATCTACTTTGGCCCGGTGTATGTAGCTATTTGACCTTTAGGTTGATCAAACAGCTTGCCTACCCTTGCATGAGAGTAAGTTGGTTGTGTGAGTTGTGCGAGATGAATGAGTGGACGGTTTCCTGCAAGCGCATGTTTGTATTGTCAAATGGACCAAGGAGGCTGCTAGCTGTTTGCGGGTTTGTCGTTTGCAGGTTGCATGTTTTCCTGGGATGGTTGATTTTACTTGGTATTTTCCGCAGTCTCGTTGGTAGGTGTTGTCGTTCTGTTTCATTTTGCAAATCAATGCTGGTATCATGTGCAACAACGGAGAACAGATTTGATGCGAGAGAACCTACAATATATCTAGGTTTGGCTTGAAATCGTAGCTAGTGACATTGCTTTGCTGCTATGGTGTTTTCTTCAGACATCGACAGCTCGTTTGTTTTGCAAATGGTATGACAGGTTCTTCAAGTGTTTCTGGTTCTATTTGGCAAGTTCACATTTGTTTATGCATACGTTCCAGCCATATGCAGATCATTGCAAATTTACACAGCATTTGTTGCGCAAGTTGTAGGATTTGAATGGTGGTGGTTCTAGACAAAACTCACGACAATTCAGCGCAACTGCAAATTTGAATGGAGCGATGCATGAGCGATGCATACGCGACGATTGGCATGCTGCGTCTCAACTAAGAAACAAGGGGTTCATCTCTCTTGAGCCAACCTGCTTGCATTGTTTTTATGAGAGGCACCGTTCTTGGCCATGGTGGCAAGCTTGCTTGAGTAATGGAATTGGAATCTACAAGGCCAAATTGCGGGACTTTACTGCAATATCCGTGCGTTTGGATGAGCGTTTGGCCGCCTGGATCTTTTCTCCCTGGCTGGCAGGCGAAACCCCTGAGGGGTGGAGATGGATGACGAAGCAGCAGAAACCCCAGCTGAGGTGCAATGTTGTTTCTGAGTTTAGCTGGGAAAGTTCGATCATGGCGCAGACTGAAAAGAAGCCAAAAGACAAGAAGGACAAAGAAAAAAAGGCCACATACTATGTCCATCACTGCACTGAAGTTTGGTTTGTAGACTGTAGATAGATGCCTTGCAGGGTATCATCGTTCTGCAGCTTGCGGCAGGAAAAAAAGGACAAAAAGGAAAAAAAAAGAGGCTGAGGCGATTCTTTTGAAGATTTGCACGCTTTCATCACATTGGTTGACATGCATTGTTTTGGCAGGACGGAAAGAAACGTAGTAAAGAGAAGGCCGGTATAGACATTGCTTGCAACTTGAGCCAAGCAAATAGACAAACTTGACGTTGAGGAATGATCATTCTCGACAGCAAAAACACTTGAATCTTTGAGTGGTTCATGTGTGAAATATTATTTTGCATTCAGGACGGTGAAAAACCCAAAAAGGAGAAAAAGGAGAAGAAGGAGGATGTTATTGAGCATGTTGATATACCGAGGGCATCGATAGACAATGTGAGTGCAGACCTTGATTTGGACATCCAATCCCCGTATAACAGTGTTCAAGAGGAAACAAGGCGATCTATTGGCTCAGCCAATGAGTTGCATTCTGGTGGTGAACAAATTGCAATTGATGCCTTCATGCAAGAGGCTGAAGTGGCTGAAGAGGCTGATGTGGCTGAAGGCTTTGCTCCACAAGTGCAAATAGACGAAACTGTTGGAGACGGGCAAGATACAGTTGACGATGCCACAGCAGAACAAGACGGTGACAATGGCCACGATGCAGAAGCCACGGATGCACTTAGGAGCAAGGAGGACAAGAAGAGCAACAAGGACAAATCGAAGAAGGTTAAAAAAGACAAGAAAGACAAGAAGGAAAAGAAGGAAGACGAAACAAGGGATCTTGATGTGCAGAGGCCATCGATTGATAATTTCAGTGCAGATCAGGATTTGGATATTCAAGCACCAGTTGACAGCATTCAAGAGGACACAAGGCGACCAGCCAGCTCAGCACAAGCAAGTGATTTGCGCTCTGGTGGTGAAGCAGATGCCTTCATGCAAGAGGCTGAAGGGGCTGTCGGAGATGGACAACATCAACACCATGCGAGAGAGGAGCAAGAAGGTGGCACTGGGGAGGAGGGAAAGAAGAGCAAAAAAGACAAATCAAAAAAAGCGAAGAAAGAGAAGAAGGAAAAAAAGGAGAAACACATTGATGAATCTGAGAACGTTTTGCAGTCGGGTGGCGAAGAAGAGCCATTGATGCAAGAGGAGATTCCGCTCCCAGAAGGTGTAGATATTATGGATTTGGAAGCAATTGCGCTGAGAGGCCGGAGACAAAGAGCATCGGCAAAGCTAGTCAGGCTTTTTGGCGACTAGACTTTCCATCCAGCCCTTAATTCAAATCCGAAGAGCAAACAAGCATGAACAAGACTGTAAACTATAGCCCTTGATGCGTTTTGCTGGAGCGAACCAGGCCCTATCAAGCTGGGTGCTGGCGATGATATCAACATTCCTGAAAGAGCCCAAGTCTCAGAGCTACAGCAACCAAAGCATTTGTTTGCCAAGTCTCAACGCGACCTGCCGTCGAGGTGAACCAGACACCAAAACGCTTCACGTTGACTGGCAAGGAAATGGTGCGCAAATGCACAAGGCAGCTCAGATTTGAGGTGTTGCGGTTATTGCCAAAAGGTCTGGTTGTCAGGGGTTACTTTGGCAAATCTCTTGAGTTGAGCATCTGTCAATGATTAAGAACATTCGTTTTTTTAGTCCCGGCAAGACAAGAGCGGCCTGATGTATTTTTTCATTTGTCCTTTGAATTTCAGCAAGGTGTTTTTTGCCCACGGATTTCCGAATGTTCCAGGGAAGTTCTTGGCTCCTCGATTTCTGCAATTCCAGGTGTGACCTTCTTTGGGATGGCACCGCCATAGTTTGCCCACACTGTCGATCTTCGCTCAGCGACAGCATTTTGCAGGCCATTCAATGCAATGCTGCGGAAGTGCGGTTGAGAGACACTGAACTTGAGCATCTCACAGTGCCTGAACACGTGAGATCGGGCAATTCCTTTGTTGTTTGAATAAAGGTAAGTGAACTCCTATCTCCCAGCCAGCCTGCGCCTCAAACACTTCTCGTCAATCAAGCCCACACTATGAAACTATGAATAAATCTTGTGTGAGGGTTTTGATTTCTTTTTTCGTTCTTGTTTCTTCTGTCTGTGTGAGGTTTCCCAGAATCCTTAGTTGGCAAAATAACTGACATCTTGTGTTCGGTTTATCAGAGCTTGTGTAGTAGTGCATCGCTTCTTAAAGCAGGCTTTCAGACGCTATGATGTGGATAGCTCTGGGAGACTGGATGGGAAGGATGCCGGGCATAGAGTGGGTTTCGGCAGCAAGCACACTGTGTAAAAAGTCAAGTGCTGAAAGCGTCTACAACGAGGCTTAGATAGTACCAGCACCAAGTAGCTACTAGTTACTAGGTGGAGGCCATCGCTAGTGACACGAAGCTACTAGGTAGAAAGAGAGCAGAAGACCCTAACGGACTCGGACAACATGACCAAACAGCTTCTCAACGGTGCGCAGTCAGGAGTTGCGCATGGCAGTCCGCGAGCTTGGATGGGCTCGTTGCCTAGATTGTAGTGTGGGGCTGCTGCTGTTGGCCGCGTGTCCTTTTTTATTGGTTCGTTGCTGAACATCAAGGGTTCATTCTAGCCACGCTTTAGAAAGTGGGACAATTTGTTTAGCTGGAAGGCTGGAAGTGTTTATTAATTATTCCAGATTTGTTTGCTTGTCTGAGGACACCAAGCAGGACGTTCTCGACAGATGGGCACGTTTGGGCCTTGCGGCCTTGTCCAGTCCTGTCGATAGATGTTTGGCAGTCCAACTCTGAGGTTTGGGTGGATTGCAGGGCCTGAGCTTGGCGGAGTTTGAGAATTTGGTTGATCCTTGGCTAGAAACTGGACCCTTCAAGCTGTGTGAACAGTATTATAGCTTGAGAGCACTGAAGGACATCGTTTATGGATCTGGACAGCATTCCCAAGCTGCAAGCGACATACATGTGCTGCTGAGCGCTTATCCTGCTGAGGCCAGTGGAAAGTTGGGAAAAAAGACCTTCAAGTCTTCGAAGGGTACAGCCAGTCAGGTCCGGATTTCTTGTCGCTTGCAGACAATACTAGGATGTCCAGATGATACTACTTTTCCTGCTCGTTCACGCGCACATTCATGGTGCGCCCAAACGGAGTTAAACACAATTGTTTGAGAGATCAAGGCCGTTCAAGACGAGGAGCGGCAAATGCTACAAATGGCAGCAGGTGGACCAATGGGATGTATAGGGGGTCGGGCCAAGACAATTGAATCTATTCCACTGAACACAGCTTCACAACGTCTTTGCCACTTTGCCAGACTGCACGAACATGGTTTCGTGAGAGAGGTGCCAATCTCCAGCTTTCCACTGCAGGGAGGCGCTGGTGGTAGTAGACTGATTAGACAAGTCCTGCATTGGATGCAGGGGGCCCTTTGAAGGGAGTTAGAATGACCTTGTCACGGCCTAAACGCATATGTCTCAAACACACACACACACACCTCTACAATAGCAAGAGGAGCTAGAGAACAATTGACAAAATCCAAGCTTTGCTGGCCAAGTTCAACAAGTGCTAAGCGCTGATTGCAGTACTACTTCAGAACAAGTTGACATGGGCCGCAGAAAAAGCAATTGTTAGAGCTTTGCAATGTGGTCAGACCTAAACACATGGACAGGCAGGGCAGAAGGATGGGATTGATCCCTGGACAGGAGCCCCGTTTAAACTTGTGCTTCCAGCAAATTCTGGGGTATTCACAATTGCATTACATTCTCATTCTTGACCTAGCGAGCTCTACCTGCTACAGGCTGTGCGACCTTGGGCCATGTTTTCCATGGCATCGTTTGCTTTCCCTGCCTAAGTGTCCAAGTGTCCACCTGCACTGGGCGATGCAGGACGAGCCTGTTCTTGAAGCTCTTGCTTCTGTGCCTGCCGCTGAGAAATTCAATTGCCAATTTCCCGACCTAGGCTTGCACCACTTGTGCTTTTCAAAAATGTGTCCCAGATTGAGGCCTGCAAGCTCGACCATACCGTTTGGTGAAGGCAAGTTCTTTCGACATTTGCCTAATGCCAGCGAGAGCCATTTTATTGTTCGAAGACTGGATAGCGAAAGGCTGCCTCCAAAAGATCAAAGAGAGAGAGAGAGAGCAGACAGGGAGAACAAGCCGGAAACTTGTGGTCTGCAAAGTGGCTCGCTGTAATTTCTTCACTTGTTTTGGGCTTATGATGTCAGGTGTTCTGCAAGCTTTTTACAGGCTTAAGATGTCAGATGTTCAAAGAAGAGAAACACTGTTTCCTGCAGCTGTCCCTGCAAATGCTTCTGTGTTAGGTGAGAGTGTTTTTGCTGAGCTTCCAGCCCATCGCAAAATTGAGCTTACCGAAGCAGGGATGCCTGTTGCATCCGGTGGCATGCATAAATATTCTAAAAAGGTTCAGAGACTTTGCAAACTAGCCACCGAGTAGCAGCTCGCTATGGCTGGCTAAGCTTGTGAGGCCTGGTCGTTCTGGGATGCTGACCATTCAGGATTCTTGGAGTCCCATCCTTAGCTTGTAGATGGGCATATGGAAGGGAGCTCAGTCCAGTGCAAGCTGAGGCCTTTGGAACTGCTGAGTGCCACAAAAGGCGGGCCTTAGCCCAAAGTCTACGAGCACAGCCGTATCATTGTGGTTCTGTTCAGCAGGACATCACATTCTGTGCGACAAATAAACATGCTTCAGTCACAAACAACAAAGATACATTTGGAGGTTACAGCGCAAGCTCATAATTCAAAACCCTGACTGATTAATCTGAAACCATTCAAGTGCTTGCTTGCGGATGCTTTGGTACCTGTGAATACAAAACGCAATGCATTGACAAGGCTAGTGGTAGACTGTATAAAAAACAGCCGTTAAGCTACCGCTCCTGTTTTGGGCCGCGAGCTACAAGGTAAGCGTACATGATATCCTATATACAGTGCATGGCAAAGTGTACATATTACCTGGGGTGAAAATACACCCCCCTCAGCTGAGGTATCTTTGATACCAAAGCTGGACGCGGAAAGTGCACAAGGGCTAGTGCAGGGCACTGCTGTGAAGCAGGCTGTCCTGTGGCATGATCGGGCGCTAGCAACCCTATGCCTTTCGTGGCCCTACAGGTGCATTTCAATTATTCACCCCCCGCCGCCAAAAGAAAGCTTGAAAGTTTGGACTTGGGAGGAAACACCGCAAAACATATTTACAGAGGATATCATGCAAAAGCTATTGAATTATGCTCGCAAAAGATGTTGAGACTTGGCTCAATTAGCGCCATCGCCCCCACCTTTGACTCGAGCTCCAGTCCCAAGCGCCTCGGCTCCACTGCCTGGCTCCATCCCTCGCTCCAATCGCGAGAGCGCCATCCCCAAGATGAAGATGAAGCTGATGCCGTTGGGCTCACCGATGACGGTGGCTGAGCTCCCTTTGCTTTTCCAGCTGGAGATCTGCCCTCGGTGGTCGTCTTGCGCTTGCCCTTCGCCTGCTGCTGCCGCTGCTCCTGTCCGAGCTTGCTGATGACATCATCGCGAGCAGCTGCGTGACTGGCGTCACAAATCTGGCGAAGGTTGACCATCGGCTGGTCCACGTCCATCAGGTTGCGATGCGCCTTGGGAGTCTTGACATACTCTGCGTACTCCCTCAAGGAAAGAACCTGGTGCGATAGAAGAGGCACCATTGCTCCACGATGTAGTCCATTGCCCTGGGTATACTGCTCGGGCACTACATCGACGTAGGCCAGTCGTGCCAAGGTATGGTCGTCGTCGTAACCAAGTCCGAGGCTGACCTGGGCCCTGCTTCGAGGAGGGTTCGCTAGGTGGCAATGACAAAGGAAGTCCTGCGGCTGGGCACCACGGAAGTCGTGGCCTATGAAGCATGCGCTCCATGAACTGGAGGTCATGTTCGCAGCGATCCTCGATGCTGTGGAAGCCGCATTTCTCAGCACGCCGGCGGCGATTCCGGTGCTCTCTTGTTGTTCAGTTTGAAACAGCGAGCAACTTCGTCGATGTCTGCAAAGCCCTCCTCATCCACCTCTAAGCCAAGGTACTGATCATGCTGGCCACTTTGGACAGCTGAGTCAGGTAGTCCCAACCCCTTGCGAATTCGAGAGGAACATCCCGCATCCTGGTCTCCGATCCTCACAGCCTGCTGGAGTGAGCCATTGACGTCAATGGTGCAGTGCTTGTACTCCCTGTACTGGTCTTCCAAGTACTGAACGGAGACAGGATAGCTATCCATCACGTCCACCGTTTTTGACCGCGATGGTGCACGAGCTGAGGATGGTGCTTCGGGCTCGGGCTCGCCTGTGACGGCGGCCGTCTCAGCCTCCTCAACTGGGTCAGCCTCTTCCTCTTCAATCTCTTCGGGCTGTTCCTCAGTTGCCGCCACATCCTCCTCCTCGCCCTCAATTTTCCAGCCAAGACGCAGGAGTTTGGCCAGTGCCAACGCGATGAGGGAGCTCTTCAATGACCTCCAATCTGCCTTCATAGGTGTCTCGACTGATATTGAGCTCCTCTGCGATGCGCTCCTGGATCTTTTCTGCGGTTGCATCGTTTGCCACGAAGATGTCCGGCCAGATCCGCTTCATTCTGTGATTGGCGCCGCTCGATTGGGCTGCTCTGCGAGCTCTGCAATTGCCACGGCACGCTGATGGCGGATCTCTGCAAGGCCCTTGAGGAGGTCCTCGTATAGCGCTGATGAGCTGGCCTTCGATCTGATCGTGCTTCAAGGACATCTGTTGGTCTTGTCATGGCACTAACGGCCTTCACCTCCAGTGAAGTGTCAGCCAACACGTACAAGCGCATCATCAAGTGGAACATGCTGTTGCAGAAGCTGTAGATGTGATTTGCATTCTCGTCACTCTTCTCTGCGTGCCACTGATCCTTGAACTCCAAACGAATGGTCAGGACGTTCGAGTCCACCAGCCTGAAACGGCGCTTGCCGATCTGGCTCGGGTAGACTTCATCTTGAAACCAGGCCGCCAGGTCGTTCATCCACGATGCATATGGCCCACGCTTGGTAAACCCGTAGGTTCCAGGATCGGGCGCGCTGACGACAGCGGCTGAGTGGACTCCATATCGGTGGCAATCGGCGGAGAAGCCGATCAATGCCTCCTGGACTTGATCCAACAGCCTCTGGTACTTGTCGCCCTCGGGCGAGGTGTACGGCCAGGTGATGAGGTCTTCGATCCCGGTCCTGCCCACAAGTTCGTCCCCTGACCATACAACTGCCACCAGGATCATAGTGCCGGGGTATTGTGCCTTCAAGTTCCTGATTGAGATTCTCGCTCTTTTCAGCAGATGCGCTCGTGGTGGTAAGGCTTATAGGTTATCAGCCGTTAAGCTACCGCTCCTGTTTTGGGCCGCGGGCTACAAGGTAAGCGTGCACAATATCCTATATACAGTGCATGGCAAAGTGTACATATTACCTGGAGTGAAAATGCAGACTGGTAGACACTTCAATCGCTGTCACCTTTGTTAGTCAAGCAAAGATTGAAGTAAATGACGACTTGTGCCTGAATGAGGCCTGGGCTTCCACTTTCCTATAGAGATGATCATTTCGGCTGCTTGTCCAAATTGGATTAGGTTTCATGCTTCGTGCTTTCCCGGGTCAGAGCGTGTATAGTGTAAGAGTGACACTTGTCATTTTTGACCAGAGAATTGCATTACTCTGGCATTGATCGCGTTCCATCACGCTATTTCCATGCCCTTTATATATATATATATATTTTTTTTTGAAAAAATATATACGTATATATTTTCTTTTCCCAAATGCGTAGCGAAGGGTTCCCGTTTATAGTTGGGGGTCTGGGGGTTGGAGCTGTGTTTGCGTGGCTTGCGTCGTGTCGTCGTCTCTTGTCGTCGTTTGGCGTCGTCTCTCGTCGTTTGTCGTCGTCGTCGCGTCTCAAATTTGCTGCCATTGGGGGAAGCTTTTGCAAGTGACTTTTCATGGACGTGTCACGTGTCAGTTTGCGCCGCGATTCCATTGTGATTTGCAGGACCATGACATGTCGCGCAAGAAGCGGGATGCATTTCGCTGCACAGGCGCAGCGTTTTGTGAGATCCGCAGATTGCTGCGCAGTGCCATGGGATTAGCGTTTGGAGAGTCGTGTTTTTGGGGTGTTGGATGTGGCCGTGCCATTAGGATTTGCATTTCAGGGTGTGGCATCGAAGCTCGGGTTTCGTGACAAGTCTGAGCTGCAATGGCGGTTTTGGTGGATGGGAGTGTGCTCAGAACGGGTCGAAATCATTCCAAACGTGTGGTGCGGTGCAAATTTTGTTGAAGCTCACATGAGATGATATTGCTACTTTTCGTGGCAGGCGCTGTACTTTGTGTGGGTTTTGAGGCGTGGAAGTGCGATTCTCGTGGCAGGCGCAGGGAATCGTGAGGTTGCGATGTGTGACGGAGGTGACATTTCGTGGCAGGCGCAGTACTTTGTGCGCGTTGGGCGTGTGGACGCGGAAAGATTTGTGGCAGGCGCAGGGAATCGGGAGGTTGTGAGTTGTGGTAGAGGTGAATGTCGCTGTCACATTGGGATTGGCGTTTGAGCGGGTGTCGTTTGGAGGGGCTGGAATCGCGAAACTGCTTGGCAGGGCTGCGTGATGTGTGTGCTCCGATGGGTGTTTCCGCTTGACTTTTGGAGGAAGTCTCGTACGAAACGCTCGTTTTGTAGACTTTGATGTGTGAGTTTTTGAGGAAGTCTCGTACGAAGCGCTCGTTTTGGGGACTTGAGATGTGACTTTTGGAGGTAGTCTCGTACGAAGCGCGCATTTTGGAGACTTGACGTGTCACTTCTGGAGGAAGTCTCGTACGGAACGCTCGTTGAGTGACCCACAAGAGTGTCACAAGAGTGTCCCGTATGAGTGTCCCACAAGAGTGCCCCGCAACCGTGTCCCACAAGAGTGTCCCACAAGACTGCCCTACAAGAGTGTCCCACAAGAGTGTCCTACAAGAGTGCCCCACAAGAGTGTCCCACAAGAGTGCCCCACAAGAGTGTCCTACAAGAGTGTCCCGTCCCACAAGAGTGTCCCACAAGAGTGCCCTACAAGAGTGCCTCATAAGAGTTTCCTACCAGAGTGTCCCACAAGAAGAGTGTCCTGTCCCACAAGAGTGTCCTACAAGAGTGTCCCACAAGAGTGTCCCACAAGAGTGTCCCGCAACAGTGTCCCACAACGCAAGAGTGTCTCACAAGAGTGTCCCTTAAGAGTGTCCTACAACAGTGTCCCACAAGAGTGGCCCATAAGAGTGACCCACAAGAGTGTCCCACAAAAGTGTCCCACAAGAGTGTCCCATAAGAGTGTCCCGCAAGAGTGTCCTACAAGAGTGTCCCACAAGAGTTACAAGAGTGACCCGCAAGAGTACAAGAGTGTCCTACAAGAGTGTCCCACAAGAGTGTCCCACAAGAGTGTCCTGCAAGAGTGTCCCACAAGAATGTCCCAAATGACCCACAAGAGTGTCCTACCAGAGTGTCTCACAAGAGTGTCCCACAAGAGTGTCCGACAAAAGTGGCCCATAAGAGTGACCCACAAGAGTGTCCTGTAAGAGTGTCCCACAAGAGTGTCCTACAAGAGTGTCCCGTAAGAGTATCCCACAAGAGTGTCCGGCAAGAGTAGCCCACCAGAGTGACCCACAAGAGTGTCCTATAGGAGTGTCCCACAAGAGTATCCTACAAGAGTGTCCCGTAAGAGTATCCCACAAGAGTAGTGTCCCACAAGAGTTTCCTACAAGAGTGACCCACAAGAGTGTCCTACAAGAGTGTCCTACAAGAGTGTCCCACAAGAGAGTGTCCTATAAGACTGTCCCACGAGTGCCCTACAAGAGTGTCCCACAAGAGTTTCCTACAAGAGTGTCAAACAAGAGTGTCCTACAAGAGTGTCCCGCAAGAGTGTCCCACAAGAGTGTCCCACAAGAGTGTCCCACAAGCGTGTCCCACAAGAGTGTCCCAAATGACCCGCAAGAGTGTCCTACAAGAGTGTCTCACAAGAGTGTCCCACAAGAGTGTCGGACAAGAGTGGCCCATAAGAGTGGCCCACAAGAGTGTCCTATAGGAGTGTCCCACAAGAGTGTCCTACAAGAGTGTCCCGTAAGAGTATCC